TGTGATTTTAACCCAAACCATTATCTTTTTCCTCGACGCAACCAGTTTGCCTGAAGGCAAAGTTCTTCCAACAGCACAGTGTGTTTATCTCACACACTCTCAAGTCGCAATGGTTATTGGAATTCACAGATTTGAGTGGCTAAAATAGTATCACATGAGGTGATTTACAACACATGCAATTGGTCTGAGAGTTTCCTGGTCATTAAACCAGTGCTACAAATGCTGTGCTGGTTAAAACAGAAACACTCTGTCAAAATCGCTTATAGGTCTGGGTCTGGACCCGGAGGATACAGAGGGATGGCAGATTAACAGCAGGGATGAATTTTGGTCATTTTGCTAACAAGCAGGATGGCATCCTCCCTCGTTCTCCCTCAGATCACCTACTCCCTACATGCAATAACTGAAAACAATTCAACAGTGACAACAGTAACACGTGTCAGTCAGACACTGACGCAGCTTGACACTGACATTAGAGAAACAGAGACAGATCTGAAGCATGAACTAACTTTAGAGTGTGCGATTCGATAATGACAGCCCAGCGCCACCTCGAGGCCTCCGCCTAAAGCACTTCCTTCTATGGCTGCCACCACCGGCTTGTTCATAGCCTCGATGGCGTGGATCATCGGTACCAGTGGAGGCCCGGTCATGTTTTTGTGGAACTCTGTGATGTCCGCCCCTGTTAAAAAAATTTTTTTTAATTGTTGACGTTATCAGGCGGGTTGGAACTGCAAGAAAGAAATGATATACTGTGATATGAAATATATCTGAGACCACAAAACTATTTGCTATTGGATGTGTCTTTGAGAGAATCAACACACACCAAGAGGCTCATATAAATATTCTTCAGTAGTTCATGTACATTATTTTATTAAATAACACACAAACTGTTGAAGAATATCATATACAGGCCTCCTGGTATGTGATGTACTTTTGATTTTGTCATGATATGATTCCTGCATCCCATGAAGGTATTTTTATGAATGCTGTGCTCGCATGAAATCCAGTTTCAATTTATATGAAACAAGGGAAGGAGGGCCTTGGTGGGTGGGTGGTTACAATGCATGCCTTATAACCGCAACGTCACGGTTTCAATTCCAGCCTTGGGGCATTTGTTGCCTGTCCTACTCCTCTCTCCTTCCCCCCATTTTAAATCTGCCTCTACACTGTCATCTGTCAAATTAAGGCAAAAATACCTAAAAAATGAAACCATTTCTTCCCTCTATGGCTGCTTCCATGCTTTAATGTATCCCACAAATCGTCATAATATGACACAAATTGTTCTATTTTAAAGCCGTCTCTTTACAGTTTTTCTTTAATGGAGCCTCCCAGCGGAGGTATTTCACATGATTGTTCTTATATAACCGGAGTGAAAATAAACACCTTGAATTATAACATTCAAATGTATGAAATCTGTTTTGCTTTGCACTAGTTGTAGTCTTGTAGTCTACTTTAGTTAGGAAAAGTCTGTTATATAACAATTGAAAGTTGTACAGTTTAACACCACTTTGTATATTTTTAACACAAGAAATAATAATTGTGCTGAATACAGATATTCCAGTTAAATCCAATTCAACTTTAAATCCAATTTCTTTTATTGCTTATTGCAAAGCACAGTGTGTGATAAGGGACCAAATGCAGCCATTCTTTGTAAACAGAGTCGTGGAGTTTTGCCTTTTCAAAAGATTTTCAAAACTCTTGTCTCAGTCAAATCTCTAAGGGCACACTGACGACAGTTTATATCTGGAGGGAACAAAGAAAATGACTCATGTGAGATTGTGCCACCATTGAAAAGTTACAGGAAAATGAAAAAGAAAACACATCTGTACCCCCGCAGAAGATTCCATTCTGGCCACAGATGACCACAGACTTCACCTTCGGATCATTGAGTGCTCTCTCCACCGTGTCGACAATGCCCTGCCTCACCGCTGCACTATATAAAAAAGACAAATGCTTTTAAAGGATACTGGACGCATACTAGTGCTGGAGTTTACCTTTTAATCAACCTGCAAAATGTTATTAGTTCGGCTTAAAAGACAACACAGACATTTCAATCGTTCGTCATAAAAATGATATGCATTATTCAGAATATGATACACATTAAATACGGAATATTTTCTGTAAAATCAGGCAGTGGTGGCCTTAATAGTGACGCACGCAGGATACATTTTTATGATAAAAGTGCCCCTCCCTCATCACCATGACTAGGCAGCCATTGAGCAAGGCTTTTAACCCCATACTGCTCCTGTAGAGCTGCTCATTGACCGGCACATCAGTCTTTCTTTGTATAAAAGTGATAGTATAAAGTGCTGGGAAAAAGAATTTCCCCTTGACGACGAGGAAGTCTTGAGTGATAGATGTATGAGAAATACCATAATACTACACGTAAAAGTCCTGCATTCAAGATTTTACTTAAGCAAAAGTAAAGAAGTATTATCTGCAAAATATACTTGAATAATCGAAAGTTAAAGTACTCGTCATACAGCATAACAATATTATGACACTTTGTTGATATCAATTATTCATTTTCACAAAAGCAGCAACACTGAATTATAGCAGGTCAAGGGCCTACATTTTTCTGTCAATCTACAACCATGCATCATATCCTAAAAGGCAGTGACGGAGCGAGCGGATGGCTTCTGAGGCTCCAGCCCAGAGTGTTTCCTCCTATGCTGTTCCATAAAGAAATCTGTTATAATTGAGTAAATGTTGTTCTTTTGGCCTGATATCAAATTGCAGAGTATTGAAAACCACATTTGCTTGACATTGTTTTATTTTAAAACAGTAACATCAGACAATTTTTGCCTCTTTTTAGGTGGCAGGAGTGAAAATTAGTCATCCTCAACATTTTTTGTGTTATGGTTTCAAAATGATGAAGACAGTTGGAGAGCAGTTCGATGTAAAATAGGATAGCAGTTGTTCCCAACTGGTAGGTCGTGGTACAAAAGTGGGTCACGGGTCCATACATACTTGCAAATGTATCAAATTTGTAAAAAACACACTTTATTTTTAAGTATACTGAATTTCCGGCACAGAGCTTTTAATTTAAAGTGCCGTTTCATGCTGTAGAGTGAGTGACTAATGTACAGCTACTCAATAGAGACAGCAAACTAGCTTGACTGCATGGCCAAACACAAGTATGATGCTGAATGTATTAAAATGTGTGGACCTGGAACTAACGACTATGGGTGCTTTCACACCTGCCTTGTTTGATTCGGTTCAATCAAACTCAAGTTTGTTTGCCCCCTAAGTGCAGTTCATTTGGGTAGGTGTAAACACAGCAATCGCACACTTGGGTGTGCACCAAAACAACCGGACTGAGACCTTCTTAAAGAGGTGGTCTCGGTCAGCTTACAAACGAACTCTGGTGCGGTTTGTTTTTGGTAAGAACAATCTGCACCAATCTGAACCAACGCTGTCACATTACACATTGTTTGGGTTAAACAAGCATGAGCATGTTACAGTCCCGGAGGATTATTAATATGCGCCTCCTCCTGTGCTGCTCCTTTTCAAACTGTATGGTGAACAAAAATGAACAATGCAGTCAATACAGTACACGATGACCAGCGCTAAAGTCAACCTATGGAGTTGTCCCTCCACTGTGACATTAGAAAGTGTCACATTTATCTTGCAAGTGTACTCTTCTTCAACGTTTTGTTTACTTTCTGGATTTTTCCTGCATGGAAATTATACAACTTTGTAACAAAATTTGACCCTGATTCAGACCAAAGCAAGTGAACCCTAGGTCTGAAAGCACCCTAAGGAGAAATCTGGACCCCTTGGCTTGACCAGTTGGGGACCACTGTTCTACGGGATGATTTTTTTGCTTGGCAACTACCATGTTTTTTACAACTGTATGAAGATTTTCAGCATTCTATTATCTCAAATGGCTGGACAAACAATGCATATAGCTGCTGTAAAATGAGATAAACATAGTGCAGCAAAATTCAGATTCAGATTCAGAATACTTTATTAATCCCCGGGGGGAAATTGTTTAAGTACAATACAAAAGTACAATATATCTCTCTGAAATGTAGTGGCATATAAGTATAAAATAGTATAAAATGAAGATGCTCAAGAAAAATACAAGGACTGCAAAACCTTATTACTTGATTTAATATACTACTTAAATTCCTTTACAAAGAATTTAGGCAAGAAATGCCTTTCCTCTGACGCCACCCTCTGGCAAAAAAATATATAACTTATAAACAGTATATTCCTCTGTTGTTAAATCAAGGTACTCTCTCTGACAAAGTTATCCAGTGTGCAGCTAGCTTTGTGTGGGATACCCATTGCATCTCCAACGATTAGAAAAGTCCCCCAACATATGAATTCGCAGTAAACTCCCACAACAAATAAAACAACTTGTGTGTGAACATCATAAATAATGTATTAAGAAGCTCTGCAGCCTTGTGTTAGTTTGGCTTCAGCTCACCTGAGTGCGTTGACAGGCGGATTTTGGAGAGTAATCAAGCCGACCGACCTCGAAACATACGTTAGTTGAGCCATGGAAGCTGCCGACCACACAGTGCAAGTTATCGCACTTCTTTTAACTGTGCTGCCTGAACTTTGTAACTTAATAAAGTGACAAAGTTCAGTCGACGCACCTCACCTGGCAATAATTTAACTGACACGACTGCATTACCTTTATCACACTTTACTCCATACAGGCATGTTTACAAACGGACTTCTTCGTCGCCTCTTTTTCTGGTTTCTACTGGCGGTTGATGTCAACGACCCAGAGCATTAGCGCCCCCGTTTGGTGTGGAGCCAGAAAACAAAACGCTGTCTTGCTCCCTTAATTTAATAATATACCGTTAATTCTGCTATCTGAATGTAGAGTGTGATTACAGAATAATAATGTTACATATTTAAATTCAGATATTATAGTAAGTGTGGCGAGTAGTAGACAACCGGAAACTGTAGGAGTCAACTGCCTCCAGAAGATGGCAGTAAAGCAACACCGAGGATGCCAGCTGCCGTTAAACCTCAAAGAAGAAGAAGAAGGACCATCAACAGCCGATGGTTGGCCATTACTTGTCTATCTGTAGAGCCCACTGACAACAAGGAGGTGTATCCGTGCCTAACAAAGTGAGGAATATGCGCTCACTTGTCGGACTAGTCGTTGTTGTTGCCGCAGCTAGCTTGTACCTGTATTCACTGTCCCTGTACCTTCCTGCGGCACCGCGACGACGTCCTCATCCAGCTGCTGAGACCAAACATGTGGAGACAGCGGAGTCCGAGCAGCCCGCTGACAGCTCCGAGGAGCCCAGCAGGTAACTGACGGCACCGTTAGTAGCTCTCAGCCGGAGAACAGAAAGTATATTAAGTCTCTCAACTGTATTATAAGAGAAACGATGCCATCACCAACGCACGCTAATAATGTTGTAGCATGCTCCCATCTTACCCAGTCTCTCCTTCATGTAACGTTAGCTCTCACTCTTCTCTCTCTCACATAACCAAGAATACAGTCATGAGTAATTTTATACACTACAGTGTGGTAAAGCAGTGGCGTAGCACCATTTTCTGAGCCCCATGCATGAGCAGTCTCCGTGGGCCCCCTGCCCTTCCTGTCTTGATAAATGTTGCCCTCAAGCACCTTTTGATATTTATTTATTTATATATTTTCACAGTCAGCTTGCTTTCTTTCCCTTTCCATTCTTCCTTATTCTTTGTAACACCCATTTCCCCTTTTTTTGGGAAACACTGTGCGTGAGTGCTCAGGCAGTATAAGCAATCACTAGCCCCTTTTAAGTGCCATTCAGACCAATGATTCATGAAGAGACAAAACCGTTACAGGGGCAAGTTGCAGCAGTGTAAACTATGTTTTTTGCCGTTTCATCATTACAGCAAATGCAACCGTAGCCAGTATCTCACTATCCTCATTCATATTTTAAGAAGATACAAATTATATTCAGCCACAAAATAAGCCTGAGAGGCTGAAGATCAGAAGGGAAGTACAGAGAGTTGTTGCATAGAGATGATGCATCGACTCATGTAGTTGCATTGGTGTGAACCGGCAGGTTTTTAAAAATGTTGCAGAATGGCGCTTTGCAGGTAGTTGCCTGTTTCAGCAGTTCTGAACTGTGCATTACACTGCCACTGTTATGCTACCTCACCGTTCTCTATAAAGGTACAATTACGGAATGGGGAGACAGAGTTGTCTCATCTATAGGCCAGCAGTGGAGATAGTAACTGCACCAAAACGACATCTGTATGAAAGGGATGGCCGGCAAGACAGGACAGAGGACGGGATGTGTGTGACATTTTGACGCAGTTTTATATGTGTGACCCACCACTAGGAGATTTAGAAAGCAGCTCGTAAGTTAGCATATTTGCTACATTACACAATTGTAAAGGTACAACTAACAATTATTTTCATTCTTTAATAATCTGCCCATTATTTTTTCTATTAATCGATCAATCTTTTTTTTTTTTTTTTTCAATAAAATGGCAGAAAATAGTGAAAAATGCCCTGCGTCTCATCCTGTGTAACTCCAAGGTGGCATCTTCAGATGGTGTGTTTATTTGACTAACAGTCCAAAAATCCAAAGTTATTCAGTTTATTATTGTGTATGACAAAGAGAGGCGTCAAATTCTTGCATTTAAGAATCATGAAATCAGCAGGTTTTGCTGGGAAAAAAAAAACAACAACAATATTTGATTTTCAAAATAATGTTAAATTTTTGTTGATTGACTACAGCACAGTTGTGTAATAGAATAAAACCACTATTTAACTACAACAACATAGCTGCTAACCCAACACAAGTTTTAGGCAAAAGTTTTAACTGCAGTCCTCATACTTACCAGAAGCCAAAAACTCAAATTGTTCAGCTCTGAATCGAGAATAACAAGTAAGTATTTGAATTTATGCACTTAATACCATCAAAGGAGAGTTATTTTGCTCATATAAAAAGAAACTAATCATTGGTTAAATAATTATTAAGTCTACAAAATATCAAAAACAATAGGAATGATTTGTATTTGCTTTGAAAAATACTTAAATGATTAATTGATTATCAGATAAATTGATTGACTGTATTACATATGATTTTGTACTTATTTGACTGTGTCAATATTGAAATATTGTTGTTTACAGTTTAAACTTTTGTCCATAGTGGACAAATGTGACTAACTGAAGTATGGATGTTCTCGCAGGTTGAAGTTCCCCTCAGACTTGGAGGAGCTGAGGGAACTTGCTGAACTCCTGCAGTTTTACAAGACAGAGCACACTGGATATGTTCTGCTGCTCTTCAGTAGTGCATATCTCTATAAGCAGTCCTTTGCTATTCCTGGATCCTCCTTCCTGGTAAAGTAAAACCGTTTCAAATGTCATCTGTACTTATGCTGGATAAGAAGGCAGGCACTGTGTACAAGACAAAAAGAGTGGACATTGACATTTCTTATGTTGAATGTGTTAAAATATGATTAAAGCTATTTACTTTAAAGTCCATGGGTGAGAATTCCCAGTATTTTTTTACGTTTGGCATAAAAATGTGACACTTAGATTTAAATTTGCTAAAAAAACAACAACTACCTAGTCTGGTGGCTGTAGAGGAAATTAGGCTTGCATGCAAGATGTACTTTAAGGAAAAATGAAATAGCACTTGTCCTGCATGTTGGTGTGCAGCTTGGGTCTCTACTTCTAGAAGATAAAAATATTCACCTAGCTCAAAAAACAAAGACTCAGACTTCCTTTTGTGTGTCAGCAGTCTTAGTTTTTTGTGACAGTTTTTCTTCCCCACCTACATGAGTTTAATCTTCACAACTGTGTGTGCAGCACAGAGAAGAGACCTCAACCACACACCACCTGCTGGTTAAAGTGACACCCAACATCTTACACTTTAAAACCAAAGTTAGATCACAGAGTCTTTCTCTCCTCTCCCAGGAAGAGTAGCTGTGCGCATCAGAGCTGATCATTACAGACACGTATTATTGATGATGTCTAGTAACCTGGCCTTCTCAAATTGTCGCTGTGCAGAACATTTTAGCAGGAGCTATATTTGGACCATATGAAGGACTGCTGCTCGCCTGTGTGCTCACCACTGTGGGCTCCACGATGTGCTACCTCCTGTCCCAGGCCTTTGGAAAGCACTACATCGTTAATCTCTTCCCTGATAAAGTCTCCATGCTACAGAGGAAGGTAAATCTGTGACATCTATTATAGTTGTGAACATGTAAAGCACTGATGCACCAAGTTTAAGTCTCCACAATTAAGGGCTCTTCCAGGTGTGTTAACAATCATTATTATCATATCAATCTCCCGGTAAAGATGCCTTCTAAAGTCAGACGTAGACCATATTGATCTCAGGTTCACCTCACTGGCCCATATGTCTAAATCACATATAAACCCTTAAAGACAGCACTGCAATGTGTATCTCATCTCAACAGCACATAGAGACGAGGGGTGTAACAGTAAACAAAGCACCCAAACATTTAACAGGGCTGGGCAATATAATGACTATGTATGATATATTGATATATTTTGAAGCAAGATATAAATGTAGACAACACTGTCTATATCGATAAAGGGTCAAGTTGCATTACATAACGCATACCAGAATGTGTCTGTCCTCTCTCACACTCCAGCTCCGCCCCACTCACTCACTCGTTCTAGTTTACAGTGCAACACTGGTCTATATGTTGCACGTGCTACGCTAAATCAGTGTGTGAGATGAATGAAGTTACCGCAGCACATGTGTAATCCAGTGCTGTGCTGCTAGTTTGTGTGTGAGGTGGATCATGGCGCGTTGCCATTCTTCTTGGTAGTTGTATAAATAAACATTTCCCAGTTTTATCACCTCCCCCAGGATGTGTCATGTACTAATATTTCATCATTTAGTCAGAAACATTTGTGTGTTTACATGGCACCTATGTGAACAGGAGGTGATGCTGCTCTCAGAAAATGAATGCCTCTATTTAGAATATTAAGTTATTTATATTTTCCTGACCTGGGAGCTCTACTTACACATGTAATTATTATGTGTAAGTCTACCACGGGTGATAATAGATTTCATTTTGCAGTGTTATTCACCAACTGCTATGGTGTAATAATCAAACAACTCTTGTCATGTTCTTGATAATAAGCTTCACATTGAGTTAATGTGGTCATTTGTTGCTGGATTATAAAATTACAGTATCAGAAATACAGTGTGACATAACATGTCACTCAAAAGAGAAATCACAAAAAAGAAACATGCTACTGTTTCTTCATAGTTTCTAACATCTCATCTTCATCCCCCAGGTCGAGGATAACCAGGACTGTTTATTCTTCTTTCTGCTCTTCCTGCGATTCTTTCCCATGACTCCCAACTGGTTTCTGAACATGTCTGCCCCGATTGTCAACATCCCCATCACCTTCTTCTTCGGCTCAGTCTTCATTGGTAAGCACACATGGATCACATGACACACATTCATCACACTGTAAGTCAAGTACTGAGGAAGCTCTCCCTCTAAGTCAAAACAGCACAGACACTTTTATTTTTGGGTTCCCCCAGATAAATATTGTAAACCATAAAAGTGCTTTCACACCTGTAGTTCAGCTCATTTGGTCGCAGACCAAGGGATACATGGTTTGCTTTTGGCTCTGGTCTGGTTCCTGTTCACACTGACAGGTAACTAACTTGATTGGGCAGTTTTGGTGATTGTTATCCTGCATCATCAGGACAAGCATGGGGAAGTCAATTTCTGTTGACTGAGAAGTTTATGCAGTACATTAATGCTTCTGATGTGTATACTTGTGTTCTTTGGTGTCAAAAAGAGCTTACAAATAAATAACAGATTGTGAGTGCTATTATTATGTTTTTGTAGATTGCAAATTAGCGGTATGTTAGCAGGTAGAGACAGGATGAAAAAGAGGCATCTTGTCAAGAAATGATTTGGGGCTTATTACTGATGGCTTACTGTCACATACTTTAAAATGGAGTTTTAAAGTTGTCAGAAAAAGTTGTCAGATAAAAACACAGAAGTTTTAACAGGGAAAATACCCATGTTACGTGCATATGTGTTTCCATGATTACCAAATGGTTAGATTAAATAGGTTATATACATGTCCTTATTCCTGAACATGTTCCATTATTGACAGATGGATTTATCAGTAGTTAAGCTTTTCAAATCACGCTAAAATCACATCTGCTTTCATGAACTTCTGTGGTTCATTCGTTTGCTTTCACCCCACAAACGAACCGCACCAGAGTGGCGGGCCGAGACCCACCCAGGGTTTGATTGGCAACTTTCACACCAGCCCAGATAATAAACTTTATTTATAAAGCACTTTTCAAAACAAAGTTACAAAGTGCTTTACATGGTTGAAGCTGGATTTTAAACACTGCAGCATTTAGACAAATAAAATCAGGTAATTTCAAGAATTACAAAGAAACAGGAACCCCAGCTATAAAGATAAATGCCACCAATAAAAACAATCATATAAGACATGTTAAAATAGACAGTGTGTTAAAATTAATAACAGGCTCTATAATTTTTTTGTAAGACTTTTTGGGGGCCTTTTTGCCTTTATTAGATAGGAAAGTCTAGCTTGAAATTGGGAGAGAGAGAGAGAGAGAGAGAGAGAGAGAGAGAATGACATGCAGCAATGGGCTGGAGTTGGAATCGAACCCACAGCTGCTGCAACAAGGACATAGTCTTTGTATATGGGGCACCTGCTCTACCAGGTGGGACAGTGGGCACCCCAATAAAAGGCTTTTTAAGCAGATACGTTTTAAGAAGTGCTTTAAAAGATGAACTGTGCTAACTAGACAAACAGACCTGAGTTCATTTTTTTTACCAAACCAAGTTGCTTAGGTGTGAAAGCACCCCAAATACTTCAGATCCACCTCCATCAATAATGAAAAACCCACTTTGTGTGTTCTTCTTAGATTGCATGCTAATTAAAGTGACAAACTGTATTTACCCTCTATTAAATAGTTAGTTTTAACATGTGACCTTTGTTAATGAGTTTCAAAGCAAACAGTGAAGATTAACAAAGCTTCAAATTGCAGATATGTAGACATGTTTTCATCACGTGCCCTCAGATTTAAAGTATTCATTGAGCATATCTCTCAACGCTGTAATTAAAGCTCCACACAATCACTGCAATTTCGTGTTTGCTCTGCTTTTAAAGGTCTCCTGCCGTACAACTTCATCTGTGTCCAGACGGGTGTCATGCTGTCTGAGGTGTCGTCGCTGGACGACTTGTTCTCCTGGGAGAGGCTGCTGCAGCTGCTGGCCATCGCCTGCATGGCTCTGCTGCCCGGCGCCCTTATCCGCCGCTTCAGTCAGAAGCGTCTCAAACTGGATGTGCAATCACAGAACGGACTCATCACAGATAAGAAGGTCCAATGATTTGTTCTGGGAATGATTTTGTTCCCTGGCGCTTTGATGCCCTCTGCCCTCAAGGCTGAATGTATTTTAAAGAGGCGACTCTTCAGAAAAACTTTGCCCCCATACACGTCTTATATCTGGAGTGCTTCACTTTTCTGGAGCCAACAGGAGATGAGAGAGAAATAAGCCTGGCGCAGTCAGTGTTTAAAGCCATGTATTCTGTGTAACCAAATGTTGGTGTTTCTGTGCCGCAACCTTTGTGGGCACAGCATGCACAGTATATGTATATAGATATTTGAATGTACAGCAATGTAGTTAAGAGAGGGAAGGATTTTGAGGAGACTTTGCTGACTATTATCATATAGTAAGAGTTGTGTTTCAAGTGCCTGTCATGCAGTGTTTCAAACTTCTACCTCCAACATGGACTTGTGGAACAGTTAATGTAACGGCCTGTTCATGTTTGCTGTGGCTGGATGGTTCAGAAGATTGTTTTTGGGGTTTGTGTGCATTATTTTATTCGTAAATTAAATACATATACTCTATAGAAATAGAGTGAATAGAAAGGACGTTGAACTGATTGCTGTGGTCATTTGACAAATACAAAAATGGCAATTTTTGATATTAATGGTGACAACACGTCAGTGGGGCAGTAACATGTTTCACAGTCTTGTCTGAGAACGTCATTTTGACCTAAACATAAAAATACAGTGGTACACCAGTCCAAGTTTCTCTCTTTCACCGAACTATCATTAGCTTCATGGCCTTGTTAACTCATTGTAAGGCATCTAGGTAGTTGGTCCTATGTTCCAACAATCACCAGCTTCCGTTTGATTGAAATAAACCCTTAATTCACTGAGTTAGATGTGAAAACATGCTAAGCTGGACACTGTTTATCCCCGCGGTCTCCGCCTCTCAGCTGTCCACTGAGCAGCGGCTCTCACTCCTTCTGCAGAGGCAGCTACAGTACATCATCTTTCAACAAACAAGTAAATGATGCCAAAAAAGAAACAGGGTTATGGTGACATTTTAAAAGTAATGGATTGCTTTTTCGAAAACATATTACTCCACTGCTTTTGATCGTTAATGCAAAACCTCACGTCAGTGAGTTAGCAACTTGCCGGAAGTATATAGAAGTTTACAAACTACAACAATTGCACTGGCAACAGTACACATACATTTACATCTGTACCGTTGCACTGGCAACGGTACAGATGTAGATGTTTGTGGATTTGAATGCAAATGTCCATTCTACTCTCACTCTATTTCTATGGTATCATATTTGCAGCATTATTATACAACGTGAAGTTGTGTTTTTCTTGTACGACAAACACGTTTTGCAATTTCAGTATAATTGTGATACAATGCGTTGGACAATTTGTACTCTTTTTAAACTCTGTCTGATCTCCAAGTTTTTCAAATTGTGTAATTTGGCCTCGGAGTCTTTTTGAGCAACCAGCTGAATTACATCATGGTTTATGTGACTAAATGTCATGATATCTAATCAGCCGGATTCTTATCTGAAAGTGAATGTGCAGTTCGTTCAGGCAATGTGAGGCTTCTGTTAAATCAAGCCTTAATGTTGCTTCTCTTTGCTGCCTCTTTTCACGCTCTGTGTGTCTTTTGTACTGTACTGCTCCAACGCTGCAAAGTGTTACTTTACAGCTCTTTCTTTGTGCCGGTTAAGATGTAAAATGTAATGTCAGCTTTCTGTTTCTTGAAAGATGTAAATTCTTTTTAGTGTAATGTACATTTGTGGTGCGTCTGACCTTTTTTTGTATTTCAGAAACAAAAAAACTTGATAAAACAACTGTAAACGTAAAAAAAAACAGCATTTGTTTTTTCAAATAGTCTTTATTGCTCAGATCCAGGTTGCTCAGCAATACAGTTCACTCACAACTCAAAACAACAGCGTGGCTGTTACCAGAAAGGCATGGATCCACGAGATGGATTTAAAAAAATGGATCTTATGTCTGTCAAGCACACAGTCACCGATTACCTTGAGGTGTTTGGGACCTTTTGGCCCGTGGGAAATGTAGGACTCGAGGGTTTGTGACCTACCGAGGAAACAAAAGGAATATCCCAAATGGTGAAATGCAGTTAAGAAATGGATCCATTTAAAACCACTACTGAAAGTCTAGTGCTATATGAAGTGTAGTACATACTGGATCGCCTACAACAGTCTCATGCAATGCTTTGTGTTTTCCCATTTAACAAGACAGGACAAAAAACACTGCTGTGGTTCTGCATACATCCAAACAGACTTACTTAATCCTTCCTCAGCTACTCTCATTAATTTTTGGATGGTTGTTGAATGCCCTCTTTTTCTGTTCAGTTGCAAAGGCAGAACGAGATTTATCATCTTTTTCTAAATTTAATCAGACCTGGATACTCTGTCAACCCTCCTCCTTTGCATGTCACAGATTCATTATCAGTCCCTCCAGGATTGTGCGATGCATGCTGCAGTGTTTTAAGGCCTTTTTTTTTTTGCAAAAAATAGTTGCATGTCTTTGTGTAATTCATTAAAAATCAAAGGCAACTTTTCCAGAGAGACTAAAACCGCACTGTTTGTGTGACTTTGTGACGTAGACTTTTGTTACGTTACCTAATGTAACCTTGCATATTTAATCTATCTTACCATTATTCATCTGGATGCAACAGCCTCTGTCATGACGAGTTGTCTTGTCTGTTGTCTACGTGTTTCAGCCATGCTCTGGTTGGGTTTTGTGCACTTGGTGCAAAACTTTTTTACCCCTGCTTTCATGCAGAACATCAGGGAATCGCCTTCTACGATCTTTCACTGTAATTCCTGTTAGTAAATGTGACGTATGTGATGCACGAATCTGCAACCTCACACCCAGAAACAAGAAAGTGAATTTAGGGACTCATGGAAGACTACAGTGATTGATTAAATTTGCGGGAAAGTTGCGTTGCGATTGGACAAAATTCCAGAGTCGTGAAGAATTCACAGGGTTTGGTTGAATTTGGGTTCACTGCTGTGATCGCAACATCCTGGAGGGGCTGAGTTGTTTTGCCATTCTGATTCCCAAATCTGTTCAAAATCCTAGCTAGAATATTTTTCAACCACAATTTAACAGCTAGTATAATCGGTAGTGATCTAACAGGAATGAATATTAAAGCAAAGAATCCCAGCTACTGCTCCAGACTACATTATTAAGTCAGTGTAAATGACAAGAAAACCAGATCAACAGAAAAAAAAGCCTAAGCTATCCAACCACCATGTGATATGACTAACAACACAGTACACCCTTAGTGATGTGTGTAATTGTGGTTTTCTGGTACTGAATATTAATGTCTAGCAACACCCCACAAAACCTAGAAACACCAATCCTTGGAAGATTAAAAAAAAAAAAGAAAAAGGTTACTATCATCTCGACAAGTTTCGCCTCAGATTGCGGTCGGCTTACAGATGTCTCGACGACCAGGCAGCTCACGACACCACAGTGAAACCAAACCAGCTGGAGGGAAACCTGCACTTAACTGTGTAAAGAGCCAAAAACACGAGCGACAGAGGCCTGAGGAGTCCTCCGCAATGCAAGAAAAAGAGCCTCAACTTCAAAAACTGCCCTAAAAAGCTACTCCTGACAAGTCAACAAACCATGAGTGACAAACTACAATTTCCAGTGCTACTGTGAAAAGCTGTTTTTCTCCACGACATGCCCTACTACAGTGAAGCAGACCGCCACAGGAGTCACGCGTCCGAGTAGAAGCACCGTACTGCATTCGTGTGGGTAAGGTCAGGGTATCTGAATCAGGTCTGGTGAGCTATCATCAGTATGAGGTACTGTACCGGCTGTGGGGAGGCTCGCTGAAACAGCCTCAGGCATTGTGTGAGTTTGATAGACCTTTTTTTATGTTTTTATTTTAGCACTGCTAGTCTGTGTTCACTGGGACAAAAACAATCCATCTCATCTGATGACAACAAGAAGTCTGCCCTTGAAAAAAGTACAAATCAGCTTTCGACAGTTAAAAGAACTCCAAAGACAAACACTAACTTTCACTATTTCATTCATTTATTTAATTCTTTTTGCCCTACATCGGTTTTAGTAACTAAAGTCAGCCTTGGATTCTGAGAGGTAATTCTGAAATGTACAGCACAACAAAAAATAAAATCGGTAGACTGATGAGAAAAGCATTTAGAGGTCAGTTTTGAGGGAAGCTGTGACGCTCTAAACGTCTCCCACCATCTCTCCCAACGCAGGTGCAGACCGATAAGTGTTATAGAGAGACAGAGAACGATGCATTTATGTGTGACTCTATTGTACATGTTTACAGATATACAGTTATCTTGTCGTACACAGTGACATTTCAACGACTAGAGTTGTTCTACATTCTACACAGAAGACTAGGGTTTTTACACCATGTTCAAGAGTCCCGTCAGTGTATTTTTGCAGCTTTGTGTTTTCTTCAAATCAACCCCAGAGTATGCTGTTATCAAATAGAGCTGGTAAGATTGAATTGGGTTGTTAGAAAAATTAAGTTGTTTTTTTTTTCACAAGTGAATAAACTTCATTGTTTTTTTTGTTTTGTTTTTTAAGTCTAAAAAAAACCTGGAGGTACAGTTGGGAAAAACAGGAGGTACAGTTTCTGTTTCGATCAACTGATTCGTATCTTATTTTTCTTTCTTTGATGGTGAAATCAGTACACAGCATCCACATTCAGAACCACTTCGGGCAGGTATGTACCCCTTAGATCCTGCTCTTCATTCCTTTCTAACAAAAAATGTACTTGGAAATCCTTTTGACGTGTATCATTAAGAGGTTGTATGGCGTCCAGGCAAAGACAGTCCAACAGAGTTGACTACGGTTTACAAAGTTTCACCAGTCGGCTGGACCTGAAGAGTTTTTCGAGATTACTGAAGATCTTTTCTCTTGTTCTTTTTTGTTTTTTCATTAAAAAAGAAAATTAAAAACGCTCAAAATGATCAGTTAACAAGGCATACAAAATGTGGAAAAAGGGGAAATGAAAGATTGGACTGAGGTACCCTGAAGCCTGAGGTAGATCACAATACTGACATGCGCACTGTTCACATCCTGACCAAAGTTAACGCGGTGGTTCACTTTACTGTTCTCCTATTTTTTCAGGTTTTTTTTTTCATTTATATTATTATTCATAGTCTAGTTTTCAAGAAAATAAACACTTCCCTTCAAAATAATATGGCAGTGTCCCACTGAGGAAAAAAAGAAAAGGACTTTGTTTTTCTTTTTGTTTCTTATCAATAGCTCTCATCACAAAATAGGAAAAAAATAGATTCATAAATATTACTCTCTCTTTTTATATATATATACACACACACATGCGCACGCACACACACACACGTACACACACACACACACACACGGAAGAAGCTGTGCGTATTGGCAATAACCTTGCGTCTGGAAGATGAAGCTGATGGGTGATGTCTGAAAGGTGACAAAATAAGGCAACAAGCTTCCATGGTCTCCAAAGTAAAGCACAAAGGGACACCAGGACCTGCGTGTCCAGCGCACTCACAGAGCGGTCGGCCAGCTCGCCAAATTAAAACCAAAAAAAAGAAAAGAAAAGAAAGAAAGAGCGAGAGTGAGAATGACAATCTGTGTGTCTGTGCCTCTGGCCCGGCCTGCTGGACACCGCAGGGGTGATTTTTTTCTAAAAAGGCTGCATATTGTACATTCACAGCTGTCATGCCGTTTTAGAAAGCTCCCTGACAAGAGAGGGTTAAAGCCAAACGCGGCTGCGGTCACGTTTGCGGTTGTGTGTGTACCACAGGTCATACAGTGCCTCCCCATAAACCCCCCACCCCACCACCCCAACCAACTCCCACCTTCTAACCCTAAAACTTTACCTTACTGCCACTCCACACACCACGAGTCTGCACCCTCCCTTAAATCCCCTTTCTGGGCTCACATCTTGTGTCGGCCCTGAAGTCCTCATAAGGCCGAGCGTGTGGCGGTGCACATTCAAAATGACTGCAAAGTGCACTAATGTTTTTTTAAGACGTCAATTTTAGCTCTGATCGTCGAGGGGAATGCCTTTAGAGGCATTACTTGATTATTCTTTTTACATCAGGACAAGCATGACTGTAGATATAGTACATCTACCATAAAGCATGGGAGTGATACCAGTTTACTGGTTTTAAAATAAATCCCTCTGTTGCATTTAACCTCTGTTGAGTGAAAGTGGCAGTCAGTTCAATGTTATCAAAAGGCTACAGAAAAAAAGTGTTTCTTGATGACATATTTTTATCCTATTTAAAAAAAACCCAACACAATGCCAGATGAGAGAGAGTGATGAGAAAGTGAAGCAGAAATTAGCAGAAAAAAAGAAAGTAAATTTAAAAAAAGAAGTGTTGCATCAGATATGAATGGTGAGAGACATTTCAAAGGGACGTTATCTTTTGCGTTGGCACACACACAGGCTTGTTACAAAGACTCAGAACCATTCACCATATTTACTTATAGGGTTTTTTTTTTCTTTTTGATTTCAGTGGCCTATAATGTGAACAAACAAGGGAAACCACTTTATGTGGCCGTCACAGCCCGATCAATCTCTGGAACAAGCAAAAATATTAAAAAAACTACACCAAGCTGTACTGTCATTTTGGTAGAAAAATAACAGTGCACAATCTCAGTGTGTATCAATATACGTTTCTACTCTGTGTTAATACTGCTAAGGATATTTAATCTTGCAATCTGAATATCTCAAACTCTTGTGAGAGAGGGCGTCCATTGTCACTCGCTCTCATTCTAACCGTAAATATCAATCACAATGCCTTGTATACGCTCGTGTTAATACAGTTGCTTTATCGGTTTGTTAGGCCTATGTTAGTCCAACTAAAGAGATAACGTTATGCAGGGCGACATTCTACTTCCTGTTAACCTTTTTAACTGTGAAGACAACAGTTCCCAAATCCTCTGCCATTTCCACCTTTCTTGTATTTTTTTGTATTTTTTTTTTTTTGGTCTTTTTTTATTATATTATATCAGTACGATTTCTCCCACTCTATCTGCTCTCACAGGGCTGGCAGTGCACACAATGCCCTCAGCCTTTGGCTCTCACTTGTTTCCCCCCTAGTGAAGTTCTTTGGTTTTGATCCCGGTGCTGCTGGTCTGCCCTGCATGTCCCCCTTGGCCTTGGCCTTTGTCTGGGTAGGTCTCTGTCCATTTGGGAGGGCTACATTCATTGGCTGGCGCCCACTTGAGCCACCCCGCTGGTCACTTGGAGTGGTACGGTGACACAGCGGCGCCCTGCTGGTGCTTCTGTTCCTGCTGTTTGACCTGCTGAATGATCTCCCGGATCTTCCTCTGTGCAGTCTGTGGGAGAGACGTCACATGCAGGAGCAGGTGTTAATTGATACATTACAAATGGAATAAAGGACAATTCAACAAAAATGTGACAATTAAAAAGACTGATTTAGTTAAATCCTTTATGTGAAGCAATTCAGATGAACTCTTCTGTGGAAATTCAGATAAGTGTCACATTTTTATGACAAAACAGTCCCAACTCACTCCACCACCTCCTTCTGGAGCTTTACACCACATCACACAGTCTTCACTATCACATGGAGTTGCTCAGTAGTCACATAGATGAATCTGCTGACATGCAAACTCTCTTCAACTCTCAAAGCTCTTATGATTTCATCTATAGCACCTTTACTGATCTCTTATGATTTCATCTATAGCACCTTTACTGATCTGTAAACAGATCTATCTCCATTTCAACTTAGGAAACTGTACACTGATAAAGACCACTGCTGCATCCAAAATCACAGACTACGCACCACATACTCAATATGTGTACTAGTGTCAAACATACTTTTGTGTATAGTAACAGTAGTTTGTATCTTTTTAGACGCTCTGTGCTGTTATTACCACGCCACCTCCTGAGAGCCTCCAAGGAAACGATTAAGTATTTTATATAATTGATCAATTTTATCCTTGAGAGCCTTCTTGCTGGTTGAAGATGCATAACCATGGTAACCCATGCCAACCTCAGCTCTACATCAATTTAAAAATAAATTTAAAAATGTATTATACCTAGCAAAGTGAAATCTTACACTTACACTTAAACTGAAGTATTATTATTATTATAGAGCTGTGTAAATTGTTTTATGTTATGAACATCGTCATCACTACAGCATCGTTGTGTGGGATATTTATGCCTCCGTGGTGTCTACTGTTTGCAAACTGTAATACCTTATCAGAAATAGAACGCAATACATGTACTATTGGTTTACTATTAAAAAATCCCATACTTTTTCAGCGTACTAAATGGCATGCTATTTTAGAATTTCAGCCACAGTGATGTGGTTGAAAGCTCCAGATCTGTTCTATTACAGTAAGTGGACCTAGAGTTGGGATCATTCTGTCAAAAAATAATTTAAAATTAAATTGACAATATGCTCATACCAGCCAGTACTGTAGTAAATACACAACTGGAATAGGAAACTTTAAGATAATTAAAGAAAAATCTTTTGTAAGAAAATGCATTACCAGGCTGAGGCTAGAGAAGAACAAGCTAGCTTGGAAAGTGGGTGAAACTCCTGCTCCCTGGGTCCTGCTAGGTAATTAGAAATAAGTATTTTCTATATTATATATTGTATCATGAAAGTACACATGCCAACAGTAGCTGTATCTAGCTGGCTCACTTTCAAAGGTGTCATTAAACATAAACACAGTTTTACCACAGAATGCTATGAATAGGTGTTTTTACTTAAAGGCAAAGTCCACACACACACACACACACACACACACACAGGTGTTTTCACTTGTGTTGATTAATTAGAGCCTTTATCAGGAGCATGTGGGCATTCACACTGGGCTTGACTGACAGTTTTACACCTTGATAATTCATGTTAGTGCATGACGTCTGATGACACCATATAATTTTCATTTTCCTTTAACCTGAGCAGAGGTCTAATTAGCCAAATAACATGTGTCAACTACACTCATGTAAGACATAATAATTTAACTTTATTTATGTACATTTACTTTTAAAATTTCTATTTCAGTTGAATGTTGTTGCACATACACTGCTACATAGTAACACAAAATTAGATATAGTTTTAGTTAACAGATAGTACACAGTCATGGTACACTCACACAGGTGTTCTGAGTTTCTGGATGATTTGCCCTCCTCTCAGGTCTAAACTGTGTGGGTGTGTACAGACTGCATATATTATCTGACTGTTACAGCTCTAAGGCTTCATAAATTGGCCAACTTTTAAGTCCAGCTGGTGCACACCGAGTAACAGCGACGACTGAAATGAAAACTGAGTGCACCAAAGTTGCAGATTCAGCCTGGAAGCCAGGACGAGCACACAGTGACACAAAGACATGTGAGGAAAAGTTTCTCAAGAGAAAGATACACCTCCATGCTCTGTGGTTTAATTGCACAGATTAGAATTTTTGTTGTGAAATCTTGTGAATAAATTCACCCACATTTGATCACCCACATATCATATGTTTTGCCAGCACATGCATGACTTTGTCACATTCCTCTTGTTCTATTTGTAACTGTCTCTACACGCGCCACCTATGTGACACCCTGCTGCCACTGCGTTAATAAAAAAATGCAGCCGTTCTTTTGGTACACGTACTGTATTTGACATCGGCAAACCAACCCGCCCAAACGACTGACAACACCTGTGTTTATCAACAGCAGGGTGGTCAAACTCATTTTAGTTCATGAGCCACATACAGCCCAATTTGATCTCAAGTGAGTCAGACCAGTAAAACTACTGCATTTTAACCTACAAATAACAACAACTCCTGAAGTTTCTTTTTATTTTAGTGTAAAGAAGTGCAGGTACACTCTGAAATCTTCATCCTCTTGCATAACAGATGATGAACAGCCTGAAATATCTTCAGCAATATGTCTCAGATTTTCCACATTCAGTCAGTCTGCCACTCACTGTCTCTCCATGTTCATTTTTCCATACATTTCCTCTCCTGTGTCGTAATGCTGACATCACCACATCAAACTAAAGTGGAAGCTACTGAGGAAGCAGGTTAAGTTTCCCCCTGCCTTACAAACCATTTACAAATCTAAAGTTGTGGCACTGTCTCAGCAATGTGGTTCCACCAATATTGTTTTAAGATAGACGCCTGATTTTGTACTGAAGCTGGTTGACAATATTTTGCATAATGTTCAATATCTTTAAATATAACCACAATAAGCATGCATTGTTTTTTCAGAGAACGGTATTCTGGTCAGGGTGGAGAAGCCTCTGAGGGAGCATGTTACATGAAGCAGGCTACTCACTGTTTAACCTGCTCCTGACACCTCTTAGCCTTCACAAGTGCGTGAGTAGGCAGCCCCTCCAGGATGTTGCAATTACAACACTTCACACAGTTTCAACCAGTTCCCATGAATTCTGCATGACCTTGAAATTTGTCCTATCACCTCAACTTTTCCACAAATTTAACCGATTATCGTAATTTCCTGTCAGTTTCACCAATCGTAGCGTTCCCCCGGCTGCACAGCATCACCAGACTAACTTCCTTGTCTCTGTTTGTGGAGATGCAGACATGTCTAACAGGAGCGTCTCACATTTACCGACAAAAATTACTGCTTAAGACCGTGCAAGGCTAATGTTCTGCACGAAAGCGAGGGTTTACTGTTCGCACTGTGTGTTCCACCACAAAACACACCCAGGGAATGGATGTAACATGTTGATAACAGACAAGACAAATCACTATGACAGAGGCTGTTGCTGTTGCATCCAGATCTATTGCAAGAGCTGAACGGAATCAAGGTGAGTTAGGTTAAATATGCATGGTCATCTGTCCCTGGAATAAGTTTCCTTTTCCTTTGATTTTTATCAAACTATACGAATAAATTGCAACTGTCTTTGCAACTGTCTTTACTAGCTCCAGCAATTTCATTGCAAAAAAACGGCTAAAGTCGTCGCATCATGTATCACAATTTTTTAAGAAAAGCTGCCCTGAAATGAGGCATTTTAGGCTGCAACAATCCCCCAAAAAGTCTGCAAAATCCTGGAGGGACTGATCAGGCATGCAAAGACATATGTTTGACACACCTGGTTTACAGAGCCTTCAAATGTGTTCTACATACCTGGCTGGCAAAGAAATGCCCGCTGATTTTCACAAAGACCTCGTCGTTCTCATCTGGAGTTTGGTCCCGCGGTACGATGACCTCAGCACTCGTAAGGTTCTGCAGCTCGTTTACCTGAAAAAATTTTTTTTTGAATTTCACCTCCAGCCTCATTTATTAAACACACTTACATTACTCACTGACAAATTAAAGTAAACTGAAATACTCCGTGATGAACCCAAGCAAACCGGGTGTTACTAGATGCTTGTGTCAAAGTAAGGTCCATCCTTAATTAAAATTCAGTTCAGTTCAGACATCAACTCACCGTCTTGCCGCCTTTACCGATGACCCTGCCAGCTGCAGTTGAGGGAACCTTGATGTGCGTCTCCAGTTTGACCTCTTCCTTCAGTGAGACGAAGTTCTCCTCTTTCAGCTTCCCATATATCCGACCTTGGGCCTGGAATACAGAGGAGGGAATGAGGCAAGGAGAGACTGGGGAAAACGGGGACACACAGTCATCCACGGCTGTTTACTATAATACAGGACAAATTTAATAATAATCTTAAGTGGCGGTTTCATATGGTTGCATACAGTTTCAGTGTTAAATAACTTAATTTTGATGTATATTCACACACACACATTTATGTTTTTTTTTACCTTAAACTGAGCCTCTGGGGGTCCAGTAATGATAGCCATCCTCACAGGAACATCTGGGCCTTCAGCTGGAGCAATCTGACACACAAACACACACACACACACACACACACACACACACACACACACACACACACAGAGGGTTATGAAGACAATAGGGAGAAAATGTGTCCAAAAGCTGGTGATCTTGCTCTGTGGTCATTCAGTGCTGAATCAGAGCTCCTACATCTTTTAAAGACTTATATTGCCACTCAGAATGGAGATAAAACAAAATGCCATTTACTGAGCTCACCAGAGACAGAGGTCAGAGTAGCCAGCAAAGCATGCTGGCTTGCATACTGCAAAATGCAACCAGTTGTAGTAGAGCATCCTGGTATTTCTGGCAAACTGCATTTGACATACTATGTATTGGGACATACTAAATCTTCTTCTGGCATACTATACAGTATGGTAGCATGGGCACTGGAACACACAGTGGGTTTCCTGCTCCTTCTTTTGACTTGTATGATTGGTGTTTTGTCACTGTGTTCAGGCTCCACAGCACCTCTGCTTTCTGCGTAGGCGTACACCTGAGTGTTGCTCAGAGATCTGTTGCTGCTGACCCTGGTGCTGGTATCAAAGATGGTGGAGACGAGGTTAAAACAGAACTGAGAAATACCTGCTGTTTTCTCACTCGGCATATGGGATCCCACTGATTCCCACTGTGCCGAGCTTGAAAAACTTTTTTGCATAAAATACATAGCGCCTCATATGCATTACTCTGTAGCAATTTCAGTCATGCCACAAAATGTTGCTTAAATAGACAAATTTCAATGAATTTGCACTTTCCCATGTTGATCAGGATGCAAATTTGCGTTTTCTATGATAGTGAGGGTATGACCTCCCCCTACTCTCCTTCTGATTGGTTAGTACTCATTGCCTTCATTGGTTTTTATTGGTTGGGCTGGTTAGATTTAGGCAAGAGAGATAAGATAAGACTTTATTAATCCTACACCAGGGAAATTCACACATTACAGCAGCAGTCAGAAGCAAATGGAAATCATAAAAAAGTAATTGAGTGCTCAAAAAGAATGACAATATTACAAAAATACAAGTTGGATAAAATAAAAATAAAATAATATAAAATCGATATACACTATGTATATACACCTTTCACTCATACAGATACTGTATGTTTATGATTGAAAGTTGCACAGGGTAACTGATGTACTCACATGGTGTGTAGGATATTTAAAGATATAGAAATACAGTTTAGAAATATTACTGCACAGTAGGTGGTAACATTGCACAGCAGGAAACTGCACAGCCATGTTGCACAATATAAATATAAAAAATATGGATATGTGCATATGATGTGAATATGCATGATTATAAATAAACCAGGGTGTCTACGGATATAACAAAGTTAAATCTAAGACATTTTTAATACCACCTTGTATGAAATTTTAAGACCACACCTGCAATGGAAATAAACATTATATGTACACGTGTATGTGTGTAACACATGTGTAAGTACTCTTTCCAAGTAAACACACTGATGTCAGTTCAAAATGAACAGTAAGGAAAAATGATGGGTGAGTTTAAGTTCAATGTGTTAAATAATTTCATTGCTGTTGCTGCTATTTATTATTGCGATTGTAAAGAGTCATTGGGTCTGTCAGACTGCAGAGATTTTCATGGTGATGTAATTGAAAATATTTAAGACCCATCAAATCTGAATTTAACACAATTTAAGACTTTTTTAAGGCCTTATATTAAGAAAACTTAACTTGAGACATTTTAAGACTCTTTAAGGACCTGTTGACACCCTGATAAACACAAAATATATATAACCTGAGGGTAAATAGTGCAAATTAGCTGTTGTGTTGTAAGTGGTGGGTGATGGAGACAGAGACAACAGTGGTATTATATCATGTCATGCTGTCTTGTGTAGGAGTCTGACTGCTGCTGGAATAAAGGACCTGTGGTGGCCTCTTTCTTGCACTGTGGGCGTTGCAGTCTGGGTGGGGAGTGAGATTGGTTAGGGTAAGAATGCAGGGTAAGCCAATCAGAGGCAGAGTAAGGCAGAGTCTAAGGAAATGCAAATTTGCATCCAGGGTGCAGTGACCGCTAGCTAGCAGACAGTGGATCTTCTGCTCTGAGCATCCTGCCGGAAACAAAATACAAGTGTTGTTGGTTCCACTTTCCTGATCTGCGCTCGTTAATGTGAGAGGCATTCAATAAATTATTTTTAAAAACATGTTACCAATTGTACTGAGATTTAACAATACAAAAAAGTCCCACAAAATCCTACTTCCCATGTCTTTGTATTTTTAAGAGTTTTGAAAGATTGATGTAAGACATTTTAATACCAATTAAAACCTCATTGTTAGAGTAATTAATTCAGTGCCTTTCAGGACTTTTAAAGGATTCGCGGGAACCCTGTGAATCATCTGAGAAGTCTACAAATTCCTACAAATAAATAGCTCTAGATTACGTTATGAGAATTCACTGACCAGCTGTCCCACCTCTCCAGACGGGGCTTGAGGGGATTTCTGAAATGCTCAGCTCACTAGTCATGTCCTTTTTTGACCATAAATAACTAACATCCTCAGCTGTGGTCCGTGACACGCTGCTGACTCAGCGAGCACTGGCTGCCAACTTGTTAACCTCACCTTAACTCTCGATGTGGAGCTTCAAAGAATGCGGCGCAAGGATGGTTTTGACCACCATTTTCCCTCCTTCCTAACTGAAGCCAGCGCTCTACTGACGCTGACAAACCCACCTTGATGGAAGCTCCAGCGAAGTGGGCGAGTTGTTTGATGTGCTGGCCCTTCTTGCCGATCAGGGCCCCGACTGCCTGAGATGGAATAAAGAGGTAGACAACCTCCTGTTCTGGAGCCTGTTGCTGGAGAAAAGAAAAAGACCACAAGGAGAAATATATTTCGCTCCACTTTTTCTCAACTCTGCTGCTGATTGTGGCGGAGAAAAACATTTCAAAACGGCTTTAAACAGTTGCAGAAATTTGATTTGACTCGTCAGATAGTTGAAGAGCAGCCAACAACGATGACACCACATGCAAGGAAGGCTAAATTGAGCTCTCTTCAAGGGTTTTCTCTTTAGGTAAACATCCCGCTCTGGCTGGGCCTGAATGGAATATTTGCTATTAAGCCCCAATGGTTGCGCTATGTTTTTGTTTTTCTTAGCATGGTAACACTCATGTACTCGAGGTTTATGAAGTGAATTTTTTTTATGAGCCACAGCACAACTCTGGGCTGAAAAGTCCCCTTCCAGAAATATTTGTGGTGTTCTGGTGACTGGGTGATGGTACACAGGAATGCCAGACTCACTGTTCGCTGACTGGGAGGTTGTTGTGGTCTCTTATTTATGTCTCCCTGTCCATTAGTATTATGTCTTCCTCTTTTTCATGATACTGTAGCAGTCCCTCCCATGTAAGTCACTTGCAATGAGAGACTTTCCTCAGCACAACCACTTGGTAGACTGCTACATCCTGAGCTTGAGGCTTTTTCTGAGCTTCTCGTGTGCAAAAAAACCCTCAACTATTAAAATATCTATCTAGCGTCACAAAAAAAAAAATCAAGAAATTAGTGGTCACGTCTCTGATCACCAAGGCAACACTGACTGTAGTGCAGATTTTAGGGAACATACTGAGTGCTGGTGGGTGATGGCACTTGCTGGAGGAACCCCGTACAGGCCACTGAGATGTGAAGAAGAGTGACTCTGAAAGTGACAAGCAGACCGATCAGATGGCACACAAACGCGCACATTTACAGACACATGCACAACTCAAGCTCTTGTCAGGGGGAATTTCAGGGCATAAACTCACAGTGAATCACACACTAGCTTTCTTGACTACGAAGCACGCAAATGCATTCTCACACACTGTCTCACACCACTTTGGCTCGACCTCGTCAGGCAATGAGTGGAGACTTTGTTTTACAGACAAACTGACTCATCTCTGGAGAAGATGGGGGAATTCTGGTTGTTTCAAACTGTGTACAACATCATGCAGGAAGACCTGAGTCAACACTGTGTTGTTTTTTCTAAAAGCACTTCAGGGGAAACCTGGTTTACCACGTGTTGGAAACAAATTGCTTTATCAAGTCAAAACTAATCCCTGCAGGGGCCGTGCATCGCTGCGTTGGGCGGGTAAAACCAGCAGCGGTAAGGCCTCTCTGGAAGAAGCATAATCTAAATGTCTTTTTTTCCACCATGTTTCATGGTTGTGTCAAGAGGTTAAACTCACTAAGAATGGGTTGTATCCTGCTGTCGCCACAGGGGGCACTGCACCACGTGGTCCAGCAGCAGGGGGCAGCACCGGCAGACCAGAGGAGAAGATGCCCAGAGCATTCAGGTTCAAGCCTGGGATCAGGTTGGCCTGTTGCTGTGCAGAAGAAGAGAGGCAGATTTTAGCCATGAATTAAAAACTTTCAAGAAAGAACATTTAATTAAGACTTTATTAAGGCTCTATTTATGTTTTTTTTTTTTTTAACAATTTACACAGGAAAAACATGCTGATCTGAGGAGGAACAGATCAGAGTCGTCATATTCCCTGGCACCCGTGTCGACCCTTGCACATTTGGTGCCCTAAGTGATATATGACATTGTAAAATAATAATAAAATGTACAAGGTAACTTTCTAATTCAACTGGGGATGCACCGATTTTTAAATTTTGGGCCAATACTGGGACGAGTTTTGCCAACAGCAAATACTGATGTTTATATATTGGTATTTCTTTTGTTTTTTTGTTGTTATTTATTCTTCTTCTATGCCAGGGAAACAGAAATCTACACAGTAAAAAAAGCGCAGTTTTAAAGTTACTCAGTCCTTCATTACACTACCTTTGAATGAGCACAAATTCAATAATACACATTTATAAAACAACGATTAACATAAGCGTCTTTCACACAAAAAACATCTTTTTAAAAAATTAGCAATAAACCTTTTTACTATTTTTTAGTGCTGTGAGAACATCAACAAATTTCTCCTTCAAACAGCTATATTTGTTAAAGTTTCTCACCAAATGCAACATTTTTACAAGATTGAATTGAACACATCGTGAGAACGTTTTAATTTACCTTTGCCCAATACTCATTTTTAGTGAACAGAGCTTGAACGCTTCACAGTGTAAATCAATGCAACCTCGGTGAGCTGTTTGTGTAGCCACTGGCTGCTTAGAGGTAACAATAACTAGCTCTCCTCCTGCTGACGTCATGTTCTTTCTCTCCACATACACTCCTCTCAGTAGAGCAGTGGTAGTTGAGTAGGCACCAGGGAGCTCTTGTCATTTTGACGTGTTAACAATACAGTGTGTTTCGGGGTTCACATGACGTCAGATGACTCACCCATTTCCCCCAGAAAGCAGGTAAAGTGTTACGAGCTGGGGAGGGTGGAGGGTGTAGTTATGTTGTTGTGGCTTTATGTAATATCTCAAAAATAATACTAGTAACAGTATTAGTAAAGAATAGTAAAAGTTATGTGTTGTGTTGTTTTCTCCTTCCCCTATTTGTGGCACCCCATGACTGATGGCACCCTCAGCATTCGCCCATACTGCCTATGCACAGGGCCAGCACTGGTGAGCACCGCTTAGAAAATTGACTACTAATAAGAAAGAAAAAAATTAGGAGAACATACAAATGTCTCCTTCTACTGTAAGCAACGTTTTTTGATCAAATTGTTTTAAATAACAAAGAAAAGGTGCTTGATTCAGTCTAATCTCACTGCTGTATATTAATGTTTTTCTGTACATCACCTTTAAAGGAAAACCAGCAAAATGACCTGTGTGTACGACTGAATGAATGAGACTGGGTTATATTGTATAATTATATTACACTGCACGAGTTGTGTGAGAGTCTGTAAAGGATGTTTTGATATATAGTTTCCCCTAAGGACTTCAATTTATGAAGAATGCTCGCCTTTTTGGGGTTATCTGTTCACCGTGGAGTCATAGGAGAATAACAAAGTTTTCTACAGGAATTCAAGGTAATGCTCTGAGTAATTAATACACAAATGCAGGTGAAATATTCTTTTAGTGTAAGACATTAAAATATGTCCCAAGGAGAAACCAACAATCCTGATAACAGAAGTATCTTTCAGATTATTAATTAATTCTCTTTCTTTACTGTCTTTCTGTAAGCTAGAAAAAAAGGAGGAGGAGGAATATATATATATATATATATATATATATATATATACATATACAGGATGTCTTATGTCCTTCAGCCTACTCCCCCACACCAATCCCACCCACCCATTACCTCGACCACACACACATTGTTTACTGCATACCCAGACGTCTCAACTCGTGATGAGTTTGTCTTGTTTGTCTGTTTATGTAATTGTCTTCACTCATTTTGTAAATGTCTTATTGCACAATAAAAAAAGATAATTAATTAATCAAAAACAGTAAACATTATCTGGTTCTAGCTTCTCAAATAGAAGCATTTGCTGCTTTTTCTTTGTTTTCTGTTATGCTAAATTGATTATATTCAGGTTTTGATCATTGTTGTGACAAAACAAGCAATGTCTGACAATGTCACCTTGTGCTGCGGGAAATACTAACAGGCATTTTTCACAATTTCATATGTCAAATTATTAACAGTTTGATAATGAAAATAATTAGTTGTTCGTTGTGTAGACTGCTCCTTTTAAAAGTGTTATAAAACTAATCTTTCAAAATGGATTAATCAGTTTGATTTTTTAAAAAAAAAAAAAAAAAAAAAAAAGTCAAAATTCTCTGATTCCAGCTTCTTCAATGTGAATATTTCTGGTTTCTTTACTCCTCTATGACAGTAAACTGACTATCTTTGGGTTGTAGACAAAACAAGACACTTCGGGAAACACTGATCAACACTTTTTTTTTTACAGACCAAATAACTTTCAAGAAATAACTGACAGATTAATCACCAGTTGGTTGCAGCTCTACTGTCCAATGAAAACCATGTTTCTCCAAATGTGATGATTTTAAATTTTACAGATAAAATAAAGGGTCAAGTGTTTCCTTTGTGGGTGGTGAAAGTTCTCCTACTTCTTCAGCTGAATAAACCGTTTACCAACCCACTGGATGATGTGGAAAATGCTTTGTCACAACGCTTGAAAATAGCTCTGTTTGCTGTTGTGATGGCACGACAGAAATATTTCTCCCTCAAAGTCAAGTCAGCTATTCTGGTTTCATGTCCATGAAGAGACACGCGGCCTCCTTTCACTTCCTTGTTCCCAGAAAGTTTTGTGTAATGTCCACAGTGTCACGCTAGATGGCCCTCACCGCTTGCTGTAGAGCCGGCGCTCAGCCCGACAGGTGCCAGAACTGCTCTCACCAGCCAGTACAATTTAACCGCATGCTGCGTGGTACTTCTTGATGATTATTTCGCAGCCAATATTTGGGCGATTGAGACGAGGGAGAACACTGGCAGCTCGTGTGAAAGTAACAAAGACACTAGGGCTCTAATTCTGAGTAGCTGCAGTTGATCACCATGACAGCAAACACACTTTATCAGCATTCATCTGTGTTATAGGGAGTGTGCACCACGTGATATCATCATCACTATCTCTCTTCCTCTGAGGTTGACCTCTCTGGCTGGCTGCAGCACTGGTGATGTCATTGGGGCAGCAGTGTGAAAGAGGAGCTGGGTATGAGAGCGGCCTACAGATATCAGATGGATGCTGGGAAACGCAGTGTGTTACAGCAGGAGCACAGACACACACAGCGGGGAAGTGAGTGTGAGTCAGAGGCTTCATGGAACAGGCACACACACACACGTACGCAGACACGCTGTGCTCAAACACTCGCTGATGAGCTATTCAGCGATCGTTTACTGTTATCCATTTACCAAGCAGACAACAACGGGGATTACTAATGCTGGTGGTAACATGTACTGAATGGGGGAGGCGGCATCATCCTGCTGTATATCATCGCTCCCTCTTCGTTGTTCACCTGTCAGTCTGTGTGAGTCAACCTGAGATCATAACCACACACACACAAACACACACATACACACTCAACGTTCAAGAGGCCTGCAGATGGTAACCTTCAAACTCGGCTTACGTGTGTAGCAGCAACGTCATTCTCGTAGGCATCCCTCAGTTTCCCACTGATCTGCGCCTGGGCTTTAATCAACGCCTCCAAGCAGCCCTTCACTGTGATGGTCCTCTCAGGGTTGTAATAAGTTAATTCATGTAACCTGCAAGGGAGATCACACACAGAAATAAGTATATGCATTTGCAACTACAAATATGGAGAACAGAAACGCTCACATTCTGCTGACTGTTTCCTCAGAAGGTGGATATGACTGAGCTGCTTTTAATTGAGCTTCTTCTCTCTGTGTTTATCCAACTCAAGTGTTGTTGAGGGATGCGTCATCACCACCAGAAATTGACATAACAATTTCTTGCTCAGCTAACAAGCAAATTGCTGCAGTATTTCCATAAAGTTGGAGGACACAGAGGAAGAAGACACAGATTAAAACTAGAATTACTGTCTCACAGTCGTATGCCTCCGCCAACCAGTCTGTCAAGTTTCAGTTGAACACAAACCGCCGTAATGTATATACATACATACACAGACATGTCTTCTCCCTGGTAACAATCACCGCCTGCAGCAATGACATCAGTGCCCCCACCTCCGTATCCCTGCCAGACTCTCCATACTACAACAGCTGACACATCTAAATAGTAGTAGTAATATTATGATAATCATTATTATTATTATTTATTGATTTTGTTTCATTAATTTAATTATTGTGACTTTTATTTTATCTTTTTTTTGTTATATAAGGACTTAAAAGGAATTGAATAAAAGGTATTCTGTGTATTTTAATGATAATAATAATAACATTTTTTCTAATTATTATTACTATTATTATAATTTTATTGTTATTATTTATTTTATTTTATTAATTTAATTATTGTGACTATTTAATGATTTTTTTTTATTTCAAATTGAGTATTGGGCGAAAGGTAAATCTATCTCTTTGTCTGACGTTAAATATTCTGTCATACGTAAAGCTCCTACTGTTTTACACTTTCTGTTGTTTTTTTGGACCAAAATAAATAAATAAATAAAACCACCCAGACTCATAAAATATAAGCAGTGAAGACTTGAAGAAATTTAATAAAAGGTATACAAGTATTTTTTGTAAAATCATTATATTGACATGAATAATTTCCAGTGAGAAACATGCTGTCTTCACATTACTCATGCTTTTACAGAACGTACAGAAGACTGATAGAGAGCTTCGTCACATGGTGCAAAGACAATCACCTGAAGCTCAGTTTCAGCAAAACCAACGATCTCCTAGTGGACTACCAGAGGAACAGGACAGAACAGCAGTGTGTAGCCATGACAGCTGACAATGCTTCAAATGCACAGACGATCTGTACAATCAGCACAGTTTCAAGGTGGACACCCAAGATTTGAGTCGCCACTTCAATATCTTACCAAATGTCTCCCCTTTTGTTATGGTGTTGAATAATGGCCAGAAAAGTGTTTTTGCAGAGCATTATGATGTCACAGTAAAGTTGACCTTTGAACTTTTTAATATGAAACATTATCACTTCATAAATTTATCCTACGAGACATTTGTGTGAAAGTTTGTCATAAACATAAACCACCATATTCTAATCCGCCAACTCCACCGAGTTTGACCGATTCGTCTGGCATCATGACATGAAACACTGGATTCTCGATTAACATAAAAAGCAACCAATGAGCATCATGAGTGGGACTAACACCATTGTCAAGCAGTGCACCAGAACCAATAAGGATAATAACAACAAGCTGGAGCTACAGACAAGCCAGACACTTGTCACAAATTGACATCTTCTCAATATCACCTGACATTGCAGTTTGTTTTATTTTGCTCCACTCCACTCTTAAAACCCCGGCAAAACAAGTATGTTGGCATGACTACGTATCTGTGTGGGCTGAAAATGACGTTAGCTTTAGGTGAGTACGTTGGTTGGGGAAACTGAATCGCCCAACCTCATAGAAATTGGTTAGAGTGGACGCAATGTCAGACTGAGGATTGAAAACGGAGTGTGATGTGTTGCGTTCCAAAGATATCCCATTCAAATGAATGAGATGGACAGACAGAAAACCTGAAAAAATAATGCCTCCAGCTATGGCTGTCACCGGTATGGATACACAAAAAAACAATGACTGAATCTGAGGGGTCAAACTCCACTGGTTCCTACACTTCCCATAATGCAACTCAATAGGGTTTCAATATGCCTCATTCACATCACATCATCATCTGAACATTCAGAAAAAAAAAAAAAGATTTTCCCAGGCATATTTAGGGACTTGGGTGACGATGTGAATGCTATTTACGAGTCGGAAACTCTCAGACGCTCTATGCTGCCAGTTTGCAATGCAGACTTTATGTTATAACCTCAAAGTCTCCAATATGAACCCGACGACATCTTTAAGGTCATTTTCCGTTCAGACTCAACACAGACAGTATTATACAACTCTTTTCACAGTAGTAAACTCAAGCTTATGTGTAAAATGAGTGTCCCTTTGAATCTAATTTGTCCCTCTCAAGGTCAGGATGTGAATACAGTATCAGTACAGTCAGAGATGGGCAAAAATACTGGTGGCAGAAAATGTATCAAAATAAAATACATGTATTTTGTATTTTGAAATACAGAAAATACTTTTTTTCTTTTTCTTTTTCTTTTAAGCAGCGACCCACAGCTCTATAGGTCACTCTGTCGGTCGGTTGGTTGGTCGGGCGGTCCACAAAGCTTTACATGAATAACTCAAAAAGCCCTTGATCAAAAAAGCTCAACATTTGCATACTGCAACTAGAGACCATGAGTAGCTATACCAGAAAGAATGCTCACAATTTGTCCATAGGTGGCGCTATACTAACCGATTCAAATCTTTTTGTGAATAACTCAAAAAGTCCTTGACCAAAAATGCTCAAGTAACTATGCCAGAAAGAACAACCATGACTCATCCATTAATGACATGATAGTAGCAAATTTGGTCACAGCTATTGCAAATTTGCGCTTGTTTCTCACAATTTGGTATAGCAGTGTTCAGGTTTGGGCTATAGGATATACACAAAGCTCTGGTGAACCCCACAAAAAGGCAGAAGAGTCACAGAACTAACTAAGTGTAACTAAGCAAAGCCATGTAAAGACAACTTGATTATGTTGTTTATTGTTAGCATCAATCGCTAGCTTTGCTAAACACTGGCTATGCACTAACCTAGACAGTTAGCATAAGTATCACTAGCTTGATATCATAACTATCATCACCATGTATTTATACAATAGGCTATGTAGCCAAACCCAGACATAAATCATACATCAAGCCAGCTGACATCTGTCACACTCGGATAAAATATTTACCTTGACAGAAAATCTGCTGAACTTGGAAGACGTGAGCAGCAAGGTAGTCTACTGGTAGTGTGGGTCCATCCACATGAGCAGCATGCCTGGCAATTCTAGTCTAGCTGTGCTGTGAACTGTCCACCAACGGTCCAGCTAAACAGCAGCAAGATACTGTAGCAGCTACTGTAGCTAGTTAACTTGTTTGCTGTCTAACTTGGAGCCTTTGGAGTCCTGTGTTCAACTTTTTCAAATGAAAAAGAGAAAAAAAAAAGCTAGGGACATGTAGGGTACCCTAAAATATTATTTATTGATTCAGATTTAGATTCAGACAACTTTATTGATCCCATGTGAGGCAATTCATTTGTAGCATACTTATGCCAAGCATCAACCACAACAACATATAATTTCCTATGTTATGCACAGTCCATTAAAACAGACCACTAGGTCACTGAAAGACACACTAAATGGCCCAAGTTTAAAAAAACACACAGATAAAAATATTTTATAT